ATATATGAATTAGTGCAAATTTACACACTAGACCATATATGGTTTAGAGCATAAAAAAACAAAAAATTATTTATAGTCATATTATTTGTCAAACTATTTATCACATATTAATATATTACACATTTTGCTCTATCATAAATAATTTTTCAGTATTTTTAAATTATGGTATTTTTATAAGTTGTATTTTAAATTTGATAAAATATATTTTTATATAATTTAATTTATTTTAAAATATTAATTTTTTGAAATCAATATTTTTAATTATAATTTTTTTCATTAATTTATCACAACTAAAAAAATAACAAAAAATCTATTGTAGATAATATTTAATAAATAAAAATAAAATAAATAGTATGTTGGGTTGGAATGGGTTGGGTTAGGGATAAAGATATGTAGGTTGTTAAAAGTTAGGTTATATAGGTAGAGGAGAGAGAAATAATTTTTTATTATTGGGTTGGGTTGGGTTGGGTTGGGTTGGGGATAAAGATAGTCTGAATGTTGATGGCATAATAAGGAATTGCAGATTAGCCAATTTTATGTTATTATTATTCGTCCATCAAAAAATAGCAATAAATAGCAATTGATATCTACACCACAATTTAGACACTACTAAAAGATTGAAGTTATCATCCCCTCATGCAGATGAAAATTCCATGCCAGTATTGACCATTTTACCCTCAGAAAAAATATCCTATGTGCCACTACAGATAATTACTATTAAAATATGGGCCCAGGGCACGATACAAATAAGCCATGAGATAACTCTAAGAAATCATACCTCGTACGTCACTGCCCATTTACCATGCCTTAAGGGCTTGTGGTAATAATTGATATTCCCTATATAAAAACTTTGGCCAGTTTGAATCTTGTTCACTTCCACCATTACAGCATCTATCCTCACAAACGTATCGTCATCGCATTTCATAACATATTTAGCCGCCACCGTGCGAACCNACCAAAAAAAAAAAAAACTAAACAAAACTCACAAAAAATGTGAAAGAATCCAAAACCAAGAAACCAGATAATTGACTCACCCCATACTCGCAAATAGCAATAGTCTTCAGAACAACAAGATCGTAATTATCCATATAAGGAACTATAACAATATCGCCAAAATACTCCGCCTCTTTCATCACCTCCATATTCACTTCCTTTCTGGCATGCTATCAAGAGGACAATTTCAAGCAATAAATAAGTAAATCATAACAAAATTAAGAGCTAGGCTTTCATAAGAAATGTATATTTCGCTGCAACTTCCATCTTAAGTGGACTCTCACCATGGCCACAAAAAAACGAGCCACAACATTTGCCCACTGTACTGTTCTATACTGCATCCACGATTTTCTGACAGCCATGCGCTCAGCAAAATGATTTCCAGCAGAGAGTATGCCAATAAATAGCTCAACTGGCTCAGTTGGAAGATTGGGAGCTTTCCACTTTGGAGAAAATTCTAGATGCTTCTGTGGAGCGGTGCTTGGATGAGAAGCAGGCAAAGAAGCAGCAACTATAGAGTGAATGTCAACGTCCCCATTGATGAACAGCCCCGTGGCATCCTCAAGGGTAAAACCCTGCCAAGGCCATAAATTATTAAGATACCAAAATTTTTCATAAAGCTTATTTTAGAAGATTTTAGATGGTAACATGGTTCGAGTATTGAGAAAATTACAAATGAACCGCTGAAACTTGGGCTAATTATAAAAAATATAAATATAAACGTCGAAACTTGGGTTAATTGAAACAAAAAAGAAGAATCTCGAGACTTGTTTGTCATGCACCATAACTATTCACATTTAAGACATAGTATCTATGCAATTTTTTTCAGAAATCTTTGGATTTTTTCAAAATAAAACCTCAGTTATTTTTCTAGTAATTTATCTTTTCAAACATGTATTTCATCTCCATAGAACGGCTAGGTTTTACGTTTGCTCGCCAAGCCTATCACAACCCTCCTCCTTTACCAGGGCTTGGGACCTGCTATGTTGAGACAACATAGGTGGATCTGCTATCACATCTCCTTAACCGACTCTATAGGACGGCGATTCGCCCGGCGATGCTATACGGTGCTGAATGTTGGCCTACAAAAAGGCAACATGTCCAACAACTAAGTGTAGCAGAGATGCGTATGTTGCGTTGGTTCTGCGTGCACACAAGAAGGGATAGAATCCGGAATGAGGATATTCGAGATAGGGCCGGGGTGGCTCCAATTGAGGAGAAATTGGTTCAACATCGGCTGAGGTGGTTCGGACATGTCCAACGGAGGCCTCCTGATGCACCGGTGCGTAGGGGAGTTCTACAGCGGGTCGAGGATGTTAAGAGAGGTAGAGGTCGGCCTAAACTCACTTGGGAAGAGTCGGTTAAGAGAGACCTTAAAGATTGGAATAT